GCCAGGAATAATGGTGGATTAAACTTTACTTCAGAAATCTATAATCTGCTTGCAATTTAGCTGACATTAGTCAAAACAACATTGAGTCACTTGAGCATTCACCTATGGAAAAAATTCATGCCTGTGCTTCTAAAGCAAAACAAGTCTTATGCTCTCTTAAAAGCTAAGAGCACAATGAAAGATAATGTTTGCCTGCTTGAAATAGGAATAATGGTGGATTAAACTTTACTTCAGAAATCTATAATCTGCTTGCAATTTAGCTGACATTAGTCAAAACAACATTGAGTCACTTGAGCATTCACCTATGGAAAAAATTCATGCCTGTGCTTCTAAAGCAAAACAAGTCTTATGCTCTCTTAAAAGCTAAGAGCACAATGAAAGATAATGTTTGCCTGCTTGAAATTCAAACAGGCTTGAATCCTCCAGTCAAAGGGAAATGAAATTATAAATAATGTATAGTGCAGTAAATATGCACAGCTCTTAGTGGTGGTGGTGGAACTGTGGTGGTTTATTTTGACAGAACTGTATAAGTAATTGCTTTTTAGCTAGGGGGAATTGTAGCGAACCGCTTTTTACTTTCTGTAAAGTTGTCTTACTGAGCTGATTCCTGCCAGCAGATGTCTCACTATGACAGAGCATGCCATAGTCTGAAAGCTGCAGATGTTTCACAGACCAGAGAATGACTTGACAGAAGGATGCAGCATTCACTATAAAAGGGATCAAAACTCTTTTCTTGGTCTGCATGACAATGAAGATGATGCAGGGGACATACCGGTTATTCTCAGAGGTAGAAGAAAAGTGAGAGCTGAGAGGACAGATAGATTTTAAAAAATATATTTGTGTGTCATGCCTTTGTCAGCTGTTTGAAGATGCAGCACTACAAAGTTTCACTTATACCTTCAGATAAAATTAGAGCCAAGAGGCTATCGTAGAGTGATGATTATAAAAGGTAATTCTGGATCATTTGTATCTCATTCAATTCTCTCTCACTACAGTCTTGACCAGTGGTTGGAGAAACTAGAACAGAACCGCAAAAATTTGGGGCTCAGAAGAAGGCAGGTGCAGAAGTAAAATGGTACAGTGAAGCATATGTAATTTTTATTTAATTTTTCATTTCTAGTTTTAATGTACACTTAAGCTGCTCATCTTCACCTTTAAGCCTTTTACAAATCTGCCCTATTTATTTTTTTAAATGCATTTATTCATTATTATTTATTTTAGCATGAAAAAAAGAAAGGTATTTAACATGGAGTAATGAGCCAATAGCAATTTTAAGCAAGGTAAGTAAATAGTGAGATCATAATAAGATCAAATAAGATCATGAAGTCTCCATGTTATTTCCTTTTGAAAAACCAGATAAGTAGAAGAGAAAAAAGAATGGTGAGAATAAAAGGGGAAAAAAAGAAAAAGGACCAGAGAACAGCCCGAAAAGTAAATAAAAGATAAGGGAGAGATCCTAAATCAGAGATGCTTTTAACTGAATATTGAGATGATTAAAAAAAAATGGGGACCTTA